AAGGGTACGGCCAATCTGAATACCCGCTCGCTGTTTTACGACCTCTTCAGTGAGGCATACCACCTATGTTTCCGAAGCGGTACTGGCACGTAGCAAGCTTTACGCGTCACAGGGCGGCCGGCAGCTTCGCCAGAGCGCGGCCGTCTGAGCTGTAACTGTGCTATAGTTGGGGACACCGTTCTCCTCAACGTTACTGGGTCGGAGACGTTGACAAGCTCCGAGAAAAAAAGTGACGCGCTGCCATTCGCTGCCGCGTAGCGGCGCTGGTGTCCAAGCCTCCGGACCCGTTCGGTCTGACTTGACTCGGTACCCGTGGATGGGCCGTGAAACATCGGATTTGTGTGGGCTCACAAAGTGTATTACCAATTAATGTTGCCAGTGTGATAATAGCCGGATTGAGACAACATTTCTTGGGACTTTAGAGGTCAACTTACGCCCGCCGGGCTTTCTTAGTTTTTGCACTTCTCCAACATTACGCACCAAGGCAAGCAGCTCGGAGAAATGGCTGCGTCTATCGTTCGTGGTTTTCGGCAGATGGACCGTTGTGTTTTGGTTGTCTGCGGACTAAAATACCGAGAACCTCCCTCTTCTGGTGTTGTGTGTTTGTGTCAGAAGTACAAGCGTAAACTGCGCTGCATACATTCGGAATCCGCATTAGGAAAGAACGATAATTGGAAAACGTCATCGTCATTTGAAAGGATCGGGCTGTATTTGAATTTATATTCGGCTACGTCGAGGCCTGCTACTGGTGAAAACAACTGAGTTATTCCTCTCGTGTGCTCTTTACGTGTGTGACAACCTTGCTCCTTTGAGCGTGCGTGCCATTTTGGAGACGTGCGAGTAAGAATTTTAAAACATCACTTCCGATCAGCTGATCAGCGCGGAATCGTCTGTGCATATTTAGAGATTTAAGTGTGAATGTGCGGTGGATATTAGGACCGTTACTTTACAGTACCTGCTACAACTTAGAGCCGACAGTGCATGAATTGCGAAACACCCTCGTTTACTATGTGAAACGAGCTCATTTGTGTAAGCGTATGCATGCTCCATGTGCCTGACAGCAACATGCCTGTTGGCGTGCTTATAAGCGCGTATAAATTTAAATTCGCTTTATGTTAACTACTATTTTCTTAACGTTGCAGTCGTCCAAAAATAATAATGCTGTTTTATTGATCTCGTTACGTTTCTGCGATCTATTTCAAGCCAAAATAAATACATTTTAGCTACCCTGAGATTGCGACATAGGAAGCCTGGGGTGCAAAGACCACTCTTAATAACTGCAATGCCTTTTTGTTGTAACGAAAATGCTCTTCTACGCGAGGTACATCAACCGAGAGATGACGGAAAAGGTGTTAGTAGCAAACAAGAAAACATCGGGTCCTGTGATCGCCAAGTACAGGTACTTTCAGTCGTGGAATTTTGCATTCTCCTTGCAATGTTTTTCGTGCAAATAGAAATAAATGTTGCACAGTATTTATCTGCAATTTTAGCCTTGCCTAAGATTTGTTGTGGCAACAAATAAAAGGCAGAAAACGCATTTCGTTCGTTTTCTTGTGACAAGTGGGAGCGTTTATCCAAAACTGAATACGGCGCTGACAGCGCACGCGAACCCCTGCTTGTGGATGCTGGTCATAGATGAATGTGAGGGACATTAAATATGACACAAATCACGTTATACTTTGATAATACACGAACATAGAATCGCACTCGGAAGCCAGACCCAAAGATAGGCACCCATGTTGCTATCCGATGAATTATAGAGTAAACATCAAAGAAAGCATTAGCGTGCATAATTAAAATCGTGACTGCAGCAGAATCTACTTGCAGAGTTCATTTTTTTTTTTTAAATGAGTAAGAGCCGCCGACGTGCCGCCGACCGCCTGATTTCGCAATGAAAAGCCAGCGTTCCGAGCTTGGCCGGCCTTGTGGACCGGATGGGCTGCTACGGCAGCGCCACCACGCCCGCGCGAACGGAGGGGGCGGGATCTCCAAAGCCCGGCTAATGCGGAGCTTGTCAACTGATCTGATTTAGTAACCTTGGTTCTCCTGCCATGCATACAATTAAAGGTACGGGAGCACGCTCAACTTCATTTTACACTCCAACGCGGTACAATAATTATTCATCCTTTACTTAAATTGCTGAAAAGCTTGAAATTGAAAGCTTAACAAAAACTATATTTTTACACAATTCAAAGCCACGGAAAACAATATTAAAGCGTAATTCTAAAACTTGAATTCCGCAACGCTGTTAAGATTAGTATTATCTTTAGAACACAACTCTGCCGCCAATTGCTTCAGTAGTTCCTGAGAATAAGAACCAAAAATATGCCATAGAAAATGCGTGGGTCTTCCCCTGTGACAGTCTTTTAAGACCCATTGATACGAAAGCTACATTTCTCTTCCCCCATTGGCGTGTACAGTTTTTTTTTTCTTTTTTTGCTTTCTTTGTTGTCTGCTTTTATGATCGTCCTACAATAGTAGGCGGAATTTATACACATGGTCTAATTAAAAGTCAGAGCGCAGCCGGAAGTGAAAAAGACAAGCAAACACATACACACATGCTGGAAGGACCATGGTAAAATTGTAGCATATTAGGGGATCGGTGGCCGAGTGTCCTAGCGTACACTAGCTCAGAGAACGTGGAGCAAAAGCTCGCGCTGGAGAACCCAGGGATTCTGGGTTCTTTCCCCACCCCTGTCCGTTTCGATCTGGATGAGCATCGTGCAGGCGTGCGGTCATGTATCACTACTGCGCCATGCGCGTCAAAAAAACCCAGGCTGGCGGTTGTACTGCACAGGCTAAATTTCCCACCTACAGCTGGGAGAGAAGTCGACCGTTGAGGGAGACTAAGTTGTAGGCTGTATAAACAAACACACAAACAATTGTTTTGCTATATATTATTGAGTTACGTTCGAAGAGCACCCTGAAAGAATGATGCAGAGAGCCGTAACGTTGCGCTCCTGGAGTTTCTTAATTTGGGCCATCGGCTCGTAGTTTCTGATGTACCCTGAAGGCAATTGTATTGCCCCTTCCAGTAATGCGTCCAGATACGTAACACGAAGAGAGTCACTAGAAAAGAATGCATACATATTGCCCCGCGCGTGCGCGAGCAAGCATGCCCGTGGCACAATGTGTATCGCGTTGGTTTCACGCGGAAAAGGCTGAGGTTCGATGCCTCGGAACGGGCACACCCTTTGGCGTTTCTGTAAATGTCACGTTCCGGTAAATTCCAGAACCCTGTCGCTTGTTCGGGGACCGGCTGTTCTACCCGCGGAACCTTCTACGCCGATTGTTCCAGAAGACCGCGCGTGGCCATAAGGGCCTCCGCGGGGCGACCCAGAGTCAGTTTCGCCACAGCGCTCGGTCCTGCTGGTACGCTGACATCGACGCCTACGATGTTAGCCTTGTTCAGTGTTTTTTTGGGCGCAAGGTCACCTCATTAACCGTTAGTTTCCGGCAGTCATTAGGTACAATTTATTATACATTTGTGCAATAGAGCCAGAAAATATCGAAACAATAAGCTTGACCGATTACACAATTGGGTTAAATATGATAAAAAAAAAATCCGGAAAACACGGAATCTAGGGAGAATCTTAAGTAAAGATTATTTTTTTTTCTGGAGCAAATATTTCGATGAGTTATGAGGGCGCGAAGGTGTGCCTCACACAACTCACGTACTGTGGCCTGGTTTTGCCCAGAAACAGGGCTTTGAGGAAGTGCGTTCCGTTCATAGTATAGCATACATCTTAAAAAACGCGGGACTCGGGTGCAATCGCGGGGGCAACTCCGGAGCAGTGAATAAGAAAGACTCTGAACAAATCAAAGAGCAACAAGAATAATGGGGCACGCCTCGCGTTTTTCAAGTTGTAGGTTACTTCAATGCCCGATTTCCACTAGAGAGAGAAACAAAATGTGAAAGACGTTTACAATTCTCCGTAATGCCTAATTAGAGCACATCGTTTGAAAAGGAGGAGGAGAGGGTACGCCCCCCCCCCCCCCCCCAGTACCCTCCCGTCCTTCTCTCCTGCTCCACCCCCATTTAGCGGAAAGTTTTTGCTAAATTTTCCGCTAAATTTAGCGAAAATTTCGCCGCTAATGTTAGCAGGAAAATTTTTACGTTAAATTCAACGGGAAATTTCTCCCTAAATTTAGCAGAAGAATGTCCCCGCTAAGTATAGAGAAAAAATGTCCGGCTTAATTTGGCAGGAAATCTTTCCCCTTAACTTTAGCGAGGAAACGTCCGATTGCGCAACGCGCTGTTACGCCGACGCCGACGCCGCTCAACCCGGAAAGGGGCACCTAAGAGCTGCACTCTAAAACAGCCGACACGGACAAGACTAGAACACAAGCAGCATGCTCGCGATGCTGCATGTGTTGGCAGGCGTTTAGTCGCTCGGTGCTTGTGAAGTAAGCAGGAGTGACTGCAAGCCTGCCGGAGATACCCTCGCCTGTATGATGCTCGTGTTTCATCATAGCCTCCTTTATTCTACAAAGCCCGTCAAATTGCTGAGGTATCCGGTTTGAGGCCTGTCGCTTTCGGTTGTTTCTACTTGTCGCTCTAGTGGGACTCGGGCATAATAACGGTGCGAGAAAGCAGTTTACACCCCCTTCTATTATATTCCATTTCATAGGAAGTCCGAACGAAGCCAAAGCTGAAGTCCGATGGAGCTAATCAGGAAGCGTCACAACAGCATCTTCACGGCGCTTGTTTACTTCGTAGGGTTTCCCAACCACCGGCTAAACCCAACACACACTCGCCAAAAAGAAGAAAACAAACAGCGCGTTCACGGTGTCCGGTTAATGCAGCGGAAGGCAGCAAACGGACAAAGAAAACGGGCGCCATGACGCTCTACTTTTGGCGCTGCTTATTCGGACATCCTAGAGTTGACTGCAGTCGGTCCTAATGTGGCTGAGTGTGACGTTCTGAAATATATGCTGACGTGTAGAAATCTAAAATGGGAGGCAAATAAATGTGTAAGAATGAGAAACACGGAACTTACCTTTATCCTGACCGTGTTCCGATCGTAAAAGAGCACTTGAACCTGAACGAGCGGCACGTCGACGTCGATGCCGGACGGCGTCCGTCGCTTGAGTTGGACGGTGATCCGGTCGATGGAGCTCTGGGCACCCTGGACGGAGTAGCCCAGGTAGTGTTTGGGGAAGAAGCATCGCGGAACCCCGACACTGTTCTTAACCGTCTCGTCCACCGTGTTGTCCAAGACCCCCCAGCAGCAGCGGCGAAGGAGACAGGAGGTTTCGCTGGCGTTCTCTTCGGGGTGACAGTCAAAGCGCTCGGCAACTGTCTCCAAATGGCACTCGAGAGCGTCCTCCGCTACGACGAAAGGGGGGGGGGGAGCTTTGAATATATGTTTGTTGTGGACGCTATTTTGAGCCCTCTCCGTGAGCGTAGCAGGATGTACATACTGCGCGTGGGGCATTGTTAGCGCCAACATCACCCTAACGCCTTTTCTGATTTTACTTCGAAAGGCCGGCGACCCCAACCGAGCACTTCCACCTCAATGGTAGCTTTGAAAGCAATCCTTCAAAATGACCGAAAAGCAAAAAAATAACCAGAGATGGCTCGTTCGCGGTAACAATGTCACAGAGTGAGGGCGGACGCAATATTGGCACTTTCAAGATTTTTTTCAAACACAGTATTGATTAAAAACATAGTTTACCTTAGGTTGGTGCCTACACTGAGCACTTTGAAGCTAAATAGTACTTTATATGAGCCGTTATATTTAAAACAACAACAACATGAAATGCTGGAAATCGCTTAATCGTGCTAACAATGTGACGGTAAAAAAAATAGTGAAATAACCGCACTAAAAAGTTGCGGAATGTGATTTTTGAAATCATTGAAGAAGAAAATACTAAGGTTCTGATTTTCTATTGGCTACTGTATTGGGCTATAGGAGGTGCTATTTCCTGCTTGTATTTAAAGCCCATTTATGTATCAAAAGTAGCGCGATTTGCGTCAATGCTCGAGGCACGTTCTACCTGCAGCCCTCGGGAAGATCTTGGCGGCACTGCCCAACTAGAGTACACTCTAGCCCAGCACTGAGTTAGATTTCAGACGCCATGTTGTTCACAGAGGTGGCGCGAGGCACGTGTCTCGAGCATTTCCAGAACAATGAATGGCGCCCCTTTTCCCAGGATAAAGAGGCTTTGCTTGTATTGCTTTGTATCTAGCAGAGTTGTGTCTTGACCAACAGAAGGCATGTAGAATGGATTCCTTACTCTATTTTTCTTGATTGAGCGCAGATCAAAGATTGGCAAGACCCGTGCCCAGTATAGTTTTGCCGCGCCTAGTCGAGATAGAGAACTAAAGAATGCATGGCTGCATGGGTGCTGAGTCCGCGTTCCGTTTCATCGGTTCCACTGAGTGAAGACGAGCATCAGCCAAACGCTGACGGAACGTTCAACTACGTGCAAATGTTGTCTCCCTCGGCTCGTTAGTTCTAGGGTGCATTCATGTGCCCTTTGGTGGTGGCATCTGGCATTTTCTTACACATGTTTATTTTTCTTTTTGTTCAGAAGCACCCGAAAGAACGTGTCCCTGCACGCGTTTGCGGCGCTGACTGTGCTATGTCGACATTTTTTTTTCGTCGATTTCTTTGTATTTACCCGTGACCGCGTGCTGTCGGTATCGGGTACTACAAAGGGTGGCATCACCCTAAAAAGAAGGACGTTGAGGCACCCTAGTCAACTCGTTTCGTGCGCTGATTGGGTAATGCGCGGGAAAGCCTGTTTTACGTGGAGCTTTCTTTCTTGTTGAAGTGATATTTGAAGTAGGACATCATACCTCATCTTTAAAACGTGCCATGCGCAGTCTTACTAACAAACACTTTTGGCGCTGAGATGTCGAAGCGCTGGGGTGGTCATGCACTGTTCTCTAGCCCAGTAGAAACATCTTGATAATGGTAATGAACGTCTCAGCGATACAGTACGATACGATACAAACGTTATTTTTCACCAGAAATACAAGTGGTGAATTGGAGGTCATAGAAAAAGCTGCAGAAATGCAGCTCGACGAGGCTCCTGGCCCACCATTCGGCAGCTACGACGGAGTACATATAATGCAGTGGTCAAAAAAGAGAAAATCAAATGAACAAATTGAATATTTGGCTGTTTGACAATTGCACAATATCTATGCCTTAACCAAATAGTCGTTCAAAATAGACGGTAAAGCATAACGAACTTTTTTTTTTTTTTTTTGTCAAGCATAGTTGGTCCTGCATTTCGGAATTAGCCAGGGCTGGTTATTTCTCGATGAATAATAATCGATTTTTTTCTGTTAAATCACACAGTTGAAGAATCATGTATGAGCGTCCCATGGCCCGCATATTTATATGCCATCGTTAAACGATAGTTATAGATTTGGTGTATATTGATAATATTTTATGATTTGAACAGTGAATGCGTATGATGTATGTAGGGAACGTTACCTATTGTTTGGAGCACTTTTTTTTTTCGAAGAGTATTATTAGTAAGTTTGAGAAAGACGTATCACCCCAGATAAGGGTGCATTAACATAACCATAAATTGAAATAAAACAGGGAATTGCACAAAACCTTTTTTTACGCTGGTTGGAAGGACGTGCCTATGCTTATTTATAATTCCTGAGGCTTTGCCTAATTTAGAGCTGAGATATTTCACGTGATTAGACCAGAGTATGCCATCGGAAAAAAAAAAATTACTCCAAGAGTTTTTACGCTATTTACATACTCAATGTTTGAAGACCCAAAATTAAAACAATTATTAACTCGGTTACTTGAACCGCAATATCAAAACATTATTGCTTTTGTTTTTGAAGCATTTATACTCAGGCAGTTGGACTCAGATCATACTTTTGACTTCGAAAGAAATATGTTACCTTTATTTATCAGGCCCTCTTCAGATATATCAGAAAGAAATATACTCGTGTCATCCCCATAGATTATATAATTACAACTTGAATCAATGTTCACAATATTATTGTCAAATTTAAAACAGGAAAGCGATATTATACATATACAACCTCCCGCGTGTGTCGAAAACACTAAAGTGAAAGCGACTCCATGTGTTTGTTTGGTTCGAGTGTATTCTGTGAGTGCTGGTCTCTTATTACTTCCAAGTTTATTAAATTTTGAATTTTGTTAACTAGCAAACAAACATTTCCTCAAAATAACTGGCAAGAACAAGCTGCGGCTGGCTTGCGAAGTCATTTTAAATAAATCACCGCTATTTCCCCTGGAGGACACGAAAGGTGCGTGGACCTTTCGCGATCGAGGTATGTTAAATCTAGTAAGTCGCAGACACCGCAGCGTCCCAAAGTGTGAGGCATACAACGTTAATGACTTCTACCGCGTGTCTGTTTAATTTTCCGCACAGAAAAAATAGGGCATAATACGTGATGCGCTTCTCAGCGTGTGATTTTAGATTTGTAAATAATTCGCAGCAAAACAAATAAATTCCACGGGCCACGCAAAAAATTTAAGAAGTTGTGAAAATTTCAGCTTTTTTTTTTTTTTGGGGAGCAGAAGTTGCGATGTGACAATCTTCTTTGACACGTATTCGATGGGGAGGGAGCTAAGCATCAGTTGGCGACCAGCAATTGCTCGTCATGAACTGTGGCGTCACACTTGGATAGAAGCATCGGTATCGGCAAGTTTAATGTAGCTAAAACAAGTATGCGGCGCTTTGCAACACAACTGTGCGCGATTCGCATCTAAGAAGACTGCACGTCATCTACTCTGGTGAATACAAAACTTTTCTCAAAAACAGTTGTCCTGTAAAAAAAAAGGTTTTTAATTCACCTGAGTAAATGATTTGAAAGAAAAAGAAATGAAAGACGTTTACAACTCTCTGTAACGCCGAATGAAAGCCCAGCTCTTGAGGAGGAGGAGGGAAAGGTATGGAGAGGAGGCTATGCCCCTCCTCCTTTCCTCCCATTGAGGTGGAAATGCTCCGCTAAATTTAGCGGGTAAATTGACATATAAAGCACCGCACGGTTACGCCGACGCCGACGGCGCTCAAGCCGGTAACGGGTGCCAAAGAGCTGGGCTCTAAAAACAATTATCAGAGCGGTTGTGAATCGCCCTAATGCAGGCAGTGCAAGCTCAAATGGGAAGCTCAAAGCTTGTTTGTGAATATTTTAAAGCGTTTTAATATAAAAAAAGAAAAACGTTTACAACTCCCTGTAACGCCGAACTAGAGCGCGGCTCTTGAGGAGAAGAGGAGGGTACTGAGGGGAGGGTATGCGCTTCCTTCTCATCCGTACCTCCTCCTCCTCCTGGTCTCCTCCCTCCTCCTACTCATGTCCTTCTCCTCCCTCCTCTCCTCCTCCTGATCACTCGTCTTCCCTAATCCCCTCCCTCCTCCTCTTCCTTTCCCCTCCCCTTCCCCTGCTTCTCCACCCCTCCTCCTCCTCCGCCTCCCGCGCGCTGCATCATGGGACTTTTCCTATTATTCAAAGCGTGGCTTGACGTCACGTGACCCTCGTGACGTCATGGAACCCTCGCGACGTGACGTGACCCTATTGACGTCGCGTGACCGTTCTGACATCACGTGACCCTCGTGATGACACTCATGACGTCACGAGTCCCGTGCGTTTCATTATGGGACATCCCATAATGCACCGCGCGGTTACGCCGACGGCGACGGCGATGCAGACGCCGACGCCGCTCAAGCCGGAAACGGGCGCGTATAAGAGCTGCGCTCCAGAAAACAACTTTGAGGGGCTTTTTTTTTTTACTAACAATATCACCCAGAAAAACATCAGGCACACTTTTTTAATACTTATACCGTTTTTAATGTGCATGGATGGGAACTAACACAGCCACTGAGTGATATTACATATCGCGTTGTCTGCTCGAATCTTACCCGCGCGCCGTCACAGGAGAGCGCCCATGAGGCGGCACCGCAAACAGAGCCGTTTATACTGAGTGTTTGGCCAATGGGCGGAGCTTGTTGCCCGCTAGAACCAGCGGATTTTGCGATAACATAAAATGGCATTACTTCTTTGTCTTGCTTATTCCTGAGAAATCGCATAGAGTTCCTATGAGTCAAAGCCACAAAACTGCGGACGGAAGTAGTCATCCCCTTTGGTGGTCAGACGTCAGATGCCGGTTGCCAGGCTCTAAAAATCCCCTTGACGGGACCATGAAATGGTCTTTTTACTTTTGCAAAATAACGTTTACATAAATCCTCCAATGTTCACTGAACACCGAAGAGGCGTCCGTTTTCGTGTCGGTTTATTAACTTCGACACGAAGAATTATATATCTAGTTTTTTTTCCTCTTCAACTCACCGCAAAACAAGCCGTGGCGTAATTTTGATGGTCGTGACAGACTATGGCAGCGGGCAGTAAGAGAATGGGAACGTTAGCGGCGAGCTGGCGATCTGCCGTCAGGCTTTACCTCAGGGTTTTACGGCGCTGATGTCGCCTATGCCACTG